TTTGGAAATTAGTCACATTTGACTAATTTTTAACTAAAATTCTTCTTTAAATCGATTATTTTTCATAATTTTCGAAAAAGTTCTTTGACAATAATATTAAAAAAAAATCAATTAAAATTTTTCAAAAAAATTAATTTCAAAATTCAATTTATTATTTCTAAAAATTCACGCTATGATTGAATTCTTTCGATTGAATTTCTGCAATAATTTGTAACTTATCCAAAATTCAATTTTTATTCGTGTTTTTTATTAAAATTCTTCTATAAATGCATTATTTTTAATAATCTTTCAAACATTTCTTTGAATTATATTTTCAAATTCATTTGTTTACAATTCAATTTTACAAAATTTCAATTATTTTGAAAAATTCAGATTTTCAAAGATTTTAACTTGAAACGTTTCAAAATTCAATTATTTCTAAAAATTCTCGCTCTAATGCTTTTAATATTCAATTATAATCTAAAATTTTAACTGAAATCCATTTTTAAATCAATGTTTATCTAAAAATCTACGAGAATTCAATTATTTAAATAAAAAAAATTTAATAAATAATTGAATGTTTCTTAAAATTGAATTCTCATAAAGAATTTTATCAATAAATTTTTAAATAATTGAATATTTTTGACGAACTTTAATAAAATTTTTAAGAATAATTACATTTTTCGAGGAATTTGATTAAAATTCAATTAAAAATAATTGCAATTCTGCAATGATTTGTATTATTTATTTATGAAAATAATTAAATTCCTAAAAAGAATTTTATTATTTACGAGAATAATTGAATCTCTGTAAAAATTTTTGTTATTTATGGAAATAATTGAATGATTGCGAGGAAATTTATAAAAATTTAACTCCCGTAAAATTTTAATAATTTTATGAAAATAATTAAAGGTTTGCGTAGAATTATATTCATTTTTTTTTTAATAATTGAATTCTTTTGGAAAATTTCTGAAAATAATTGCAATTTTGCCAAGAATTTTAAGAAGATGTTTAAAAATACTTGAATTTCTGAGAAGCAATCTATTACTTTTGAAAATAATTGAATTCTTGTGATAAATTTTAGTTATTTATAAAAATAATTGAATTTTGCGAAGAATTTTATAAAAATTCCTGAAAGTAATTGAATTTTGCCAAGAATTTAATTAAAATTTTATGAAAATAATTAAATTAAGTCGAAAATTTAATTAAAATTTTTGAAAATAATTGAATTTCGGAGAAAATTGTTATTATTTATTAAAATAATTGAAATTTTAACGCGAATTTTTAAAAAAATTTTAACATAATTGAATTTTTGAGAAGAATTTTATTTCTTTTGGAAATAATTATAAATTCTTGTGATAAATTTTTGTTCTTTATGAAAATAATTGAATTTTGCAAAAAATTTTATTAAAATTCCTGCAAATAATTGAATTTTGCAAAGAATTTTATTAAAATTTTTAAAGATAATTGAAATTTTGCCAACAATTTTATTAAAATTTTTGAAAATAATTTCATTTCGGAGAAGAATTTAATTTTTTCGAAAAATAATTGAAATTTTAACATAAATTTTTTAAAAAATTTTAATATAATTGAATGTCTCAGAAGAATTATATTTCTTTTGAAAATAATTAAATTCTTGTGACGAATTTTGGTTATTTATGAAAATAATTGAATTTTGTAAAGAATTTTATTAAAATTTTTAAAAATAATTAAAATTTTGCAAAGAATTTTATTTAAATTTTTGAAAGTAATTGAAATTTTCCAAAGAATTTTATTATTTCTAAAGATAATGGAAATTTTAACACGAATTTTTATAAAAATGTTTAAAATAATTAAATTTCTTAGAAGAATTCTTTGTATTTTGGAAATAATTAAATTCTTGTGACGAATTTTGATTATTTGTGAAAATAATTGAATTTGGCAAAAAAATTTATTAAAATTCCTGCACATAATTGAATTTTGCCAATAATTTTATTAAAATTTATGAAAGTAATTGGAATTTTAACACGAATTTTTAAAAAAAATTCTAACATAATTGAATTTCTGAGAAGAATTCTATTTCTTTTGGAAATAATTAAATTTTTGTGGCGAATTTTGCTTTTTTTGAAAATAGTTGAATTTCGCAAAAAATTTTATTAAAATTCCTGCAAATAATTGAATTTTGCAAAGTATTTTATTTAAATTTTTGAACATAATTGAATTCCTGCGAAGAATTTTATTACTTTTGAAATTAATTGAATTTCTGCAATCATTTGTAATTTCTCTAAAATTCTCCAAATTATGTTGTAGAATTTACGAACTTTTCATCTTTTCTCAATAAAATTACTGACTTTACGGACATTTCTTAAAAAAAATTGACTTTTACGGACTTGAAGCAAATTTACTAATTTAAATTAGCAAACATGTTTTACTAATTAAATTTGAGAGAGATTATTTCCTGTTAACTTTAAAAAATAAAGAAATTATCGAGTGTCAAGGACCTGACTTACAATGGTTAAGGTCCAATTTGGCCGCATTTGGACCAACATAGCAACAGTGTTCGACTTTGCCAAAAGGGTGATTGTGCGCTTAAGTGTATTCAGACCCCCCCACCACCAAACCACCACCAATATATTGTGAAAATCGTAGGCCCCCCTCAGTCTCAGTGGTGGTGTGGGCCCTTTGACATTCACTAGTGCAAAAGGTTTTTAGGCGGGACCTGCTCTTGTCGACGATTGGTCGGCCCTTTTGCCCCACTACTCCACTCCTCGTGGCACACGAAGTCGATAAATAAGCTTGCACGTTACATTGAGAACAGCAAACCGGGTTTTGAAGCCGTAGCGTGAGGAGCTGTTTTCTTGTATAGTTCAGTCATTTACGATGTTTGATTCCTGCGACGTTTGTCATTGTACGAGGTACTACAGAAAACAAAATTATTTCTAAAATATCTTTTTCTTTTTGACGAAAAAATCAAAAAATTCGTGCAACGTGCTCTCTCTTGGGATTTTTATTATGTGTTATAAATTGAAAATGTCTTTTAAATAAGACAAGTGCAGTTTTTTTTTAAAGGAGAAATTCCCTTAAGAAAAAATTTATAAAGTGATTCTGCCTGAAATTTTTGGATTGTTTTTTGTGTTACAAAAGTGTTTATCGATATAAAAAAAACGAATATTATTTTAGTTCGAAAAAATAGAGATTTGCTGGTGAAAATTACTTTGAATTCTAAATTTCGATTTTGTGTAGAAACAAAATTTGTTGAAGATTTTGTGAAAAATTGTTGACAGTCAAATTTTGGAGTTCTTTTTTCGGTTTAGTTTTTGCGAGATAAAATCTGCAAATTGTCAAAATTTGTTTTATTTTTCTCGTCAAATTCGTGAGAAAAATAAAAATTTTCGTTTCCAAGTTTTGTGATTTTTCAAAGTGAAATTTAAAAACTATTATTGTTAGGAAAATTACATTAAATTTAGTGATTTACAAACTAAAATATTCTTTCTATTACACTATGTAATTGAGGGAGAATTTTATTTACATTATAACCACGAATATTTTTTCTTACAAAAATTTGTCAAAAGAATAATTTAGTGTATACAAAAAATGTAGAATTAAATTTTTTAATTTGAAAAATCACAAAGTAAAACTATTTTCTATTCATTTCGCTCGAGATTCTTTTAATTCAATTTCAAAGTCAAAATTTAAAATAAAAATTTTAATTTAAAGAGTTTTAAAGAAAAATTTAATAAAAATTAATTTAAAATTGAAGTTAAATTAAAATTTTAATTAAAATTGTAATTCATCATTATTTTTGGTTTTTAAAAAAGAATTTACCAATTTTATTTCGCTAACTATACCGAATAGTGAACTTGTTCTGTAAAATAAAAATTAGTCAGTTTTTGTTTTTTGTTCTCCAAACGATATTTTTCTTAACGAAAAAATATCGTTTGGAAAACAAAAAAAAACAATTGTCAATTAAGTGAAAAGTTTATATTTCTCTTTACGAATATATATGTGCATAAAAGTATAATTTAAATTGTAAACCCAGTTCAGTGTATATGGAATCATTTATCTCATCTTACAGAATTTTTTTATATTGAAAAATAATATAAAAAAATTTATATTTAATATCATTTGTTATATTCAGTTTTTTTTCAATATAGTACTTTAGAGTATTATATTATTCTTATGTATTATTATATTTTGTTATATTACATTATTATTTATTGTATTTTCAAATTTTATTATTCACATACTTATCCACTTTCCATTTTTGTTTTTAAACCCTATTTTTTTTAACAATATTCTGAACTTGTTTTTTATGAAACATTTATTAAATCTAAAGATCAATTCTGTTTTTCAATTTTTTTCGTAATCGGTAATTATTAATTATTATTAAAGTGAAATTTTCATTTTTTTCGTAATCGGTAATTATTAATTATTAATTATTATTAAAATGAAATATTAATGTTAATATTATTGAAATTTATGGCGCCTGTGGTGCCCTCTTTTTTATTTTCATTCGCGCGCATTCTCAGTTGATTCCCACCTCTTGGCGGGGGAGTATTTGATGCTCCGATTGCTCTCAAGTTTTCATAAAGAATATTGTGTTTCTTGACATAAAATTGATAAACTCTTGATAATTTTGCATTAAAGAAACTCTCAGGTTTCAGGTATTAATGTATTATTAACAAAATTTCTTACATTGACCCAATTTCTGCGGAATCATAATCTGTTGTCAAAAAACTTTGACAGTGCTTTGTGTGTTTGTGTTTCGAAAATTATACTTATTGGATACTATTCAATCATAATTGTTGTTGATTTACATTAAGTGCGTAAATTTTTGATAAATTCGAGAAGAAAAACAATGAGTTTCATTGATAAATTGTTAATAATCTTGTGTTTTGGCGGGTCTATTTTTTGAGGTTATGTTTATTGTTTTTGAGTGCATTGCATTGAATTTTTGCCTTTTTTCTTACATTGATGTGTAAATTTTTTTATATTATACAGCATAAATGTGTTATTAATTAGAAATATCTTTTTTGTTACAGCTTATTCAAAAATGCTTTCAAAATTAAGAATTCTCCACTTGCTGAGAATGCACTGAAGTCTAGTGTGAAATCTCGCCGTCTTCTGGGGATGGCGTCACGTCCTCGTCGTTTATCGACTAGTCCGGAGACTGAGTTACCGACACTTGATAAGGAGAATGGAAGCGCCATCTCGTGTCCTTTGAATGAGAACTCCAGTCCGCAGAAGGTAAGAAAGATCACAATATTTTAATTTTTCTCTTTCTTATTTTTTTTCAATAATATATCACTGATTAATATTTCAATTTTTCTCTTTATTTTTTTTTAAAGAATATATCACTGGTTAATATTTAAATTTTTCTGTTTCTTATTTTTTTTAAAGAATATATCACTGGTTAATATTTAAATTTTTCTCTTTCTTGTAAATTTTACGTTCTTTCCGAAAATTAAAAATCTTTGGTGTGTTAATTATTTTTCGGTTATAATTTTTTTAAATTTTGGAATAAAAGATTATTTTATTTTATCCGGTTGGAAATTCGAAATCACGACGCTTTTGTATCGACAGGTGTCAATTAAAGATAATTTGCATTCCTTGATTGAAGATTAAATGTGCATTTCACTTTACACGGATTTTTTTCTAATGTATACAACACCTTGCGACTTGATCGACTTCCGGCTTGTAAACTCGTGTTTTTATCTATCGAAGTTGCTTTTTAAACGGTTGGATTTGGAAAAAACAACTTCCGGTTTGATTTTTTCTGAAATCTCTCTTCGGAATCTTTTTTCTGAAGAATGGAGGAAGACGTAGAAGCTAACAAATTTGTTTAATTTTAGCTTAGCGGAAGTAAACTGGCGAAATCACGTTGCCCGCTTGAGGATTGCGATCCAAACAGCCAGGACAGCGGATATGGATGCACCGAACGAGATGAGAAGTCAGACGATGGCTTCCAATTCGTGGAACCTTTGGGAGTGGCACCACGACGAATGTCCATCGAGTGCAGGAGTCCAATGCAATCGCCACTGCGTTCGTCGCCGAACCGGAAACGAGTGTCTAGGCCCTCGCTCTTCAGGAGTCTTTCCTCTGGGTACGAGAGCACCGACGATGGGTTCAATGACCTCATTGACATTGAAGCTCTCGACGATGCCACTCAATTGCCGACCAACATTTCGAATCTCCTCTCGGGCCACATCGTCGTCTCCGAAAGGTCCATGGACACAAGTGAATCGACAACGCCCGAATTTCCCCGCACCAAGTCCTCCAAGTCGTTACGAAGGTCACTCTCCTTCCAGAACGAAAGAATGGAGAAGAACACAACACCAACATTCTCCAAAGTGCGTTCCTGTCTGTTTCGCTCACCGAACGCAAGTTCCTCGGCCTCGAAACTCTCCTACGAGGAGACACGTCGTGAATGTTTCTCACCCGAGTCGCCCGACGTCCTCGGACCAAGATCTTTCAAGAGGCCACAACCACCAGTGGACACGAGTCCAGTGCTAGTCAAACGTTCCCGCAAATCGACCAGTTATCAAGATTTAGCCGAAACCACGAGTCCAAAACCATGTTTGCAGAGGAGCTTCTCCGAAACTGAGGCCCACATAAAATCGGCAATTCATCGCAGCATCAACGACGCCGATCTCACCGGCGATTTCAGCAAAACGTGCATTCTCCCCCTAGCCACCGGCAACCACGAGGATCTCAAATCAATAACCTCTCAAACATTGACAGACCTCATGAACGACGAATTCAAGGATTGCATCAACGATTATAAAATCGTCGACTGCCGATACCCCTATGAATACGAAGCCGGACACATTAAAGGATCACTAAATCTCTACACACGCGAACTTATCGAGCAATTCCTCCTCGAGCCATTGAAGCACAAACCTGAAATTGAGCCCGACTCGAATAAGCGGAACATTCTTGTGTTTCATTGTGAATTCTCATGGGAGCGTGGACCGAATCTTTCCCGTTTTCTGAGGAATTTGGATCGTCAAAGGAATAAGGAGCACTATCCCGCATTACACTATCCAGAACTCTATCTTCTTCATGGTGGCTATGAGAAATTCTACCGGGAACAAAGGGATCTCTGTACCCCACAAGGGTATCGTCCAATGAGAGATCCCAATCACGAAGCCGATCTTCGTCAATTTCGCAGCAAGAGCAAAAGTTGGCAAGGTGAAAAATCAAGAATCAATGGATCGACCGCCAGGGCTAATTTAAAACGTCTTGGTCTGTGAAGAGAATTTTTTTTTTCGTGATGATCAAATTTTTTTAAATTGATTCATCAACGTTTTCCTCAAAAAAATCGTTGATGAATCAAAAATTTCGTGAATCGATTTTTATCGTCGTTAATTAATCGTTTTACGTAAATTTCTTTTTCGTAAATCGATTTCTTAATATGTTTTGTGAAACTGGAGAAATCATGAAGTATTTCCTTTTTTTTTACTCTATTTTCTAGCTTTATATCATGACACTTTAAAGTATATCCCGGTTTTTAAAGTCTCGAGTTTCACGCATATAATATATATATATTTATATTTTGTAAAAAAAGAATTATCACTGCCACGCGGACAAATTACTACTCCAAGTTCAAACGTTCCAAGCTTCAAGTGCAAAAAAAAAGTGAGAGAATTAATTTGGATTCCTCTCCAAGGGAAGAGTCCTCCGCGTTGTATTGTATTTTTGTAAATAGTCACCGACTTGAGGCGTACAATTTTCCAAAAATTTCCCTCTTTAATTTCATTTTTCCAAAAAAAAAATATTCATAGAATATTTGTCAAATTTAAAATTTGCCAAACAATTTTTCCCACTCTCTTGCAAATTTATAATTCTACATATTTTTTGTAATTATAACAATTACAGTAATGAATTTTCTAAAATAAGTCACTAAATTTTTATTTTGCCTAAAAAAAAAAATAATTGGAAAAAAATTGCTTCTAATTTGGCGAAATAAAAATAATTTTGGTTAAATGAATTAATTTGATAATTATTGGAATAAAAGTACGTCTCAGACTCAGATTATGAATTAGTTTAAAAACAAGTTCTAGTTACAAGGAAATGTAAAAGCGCTTATTATCTTATTAGAGAAAGATATTTGCCGGTGTCGCCTTTAAATTTAGTATTATGTTTTTGAAAAATTTAGAGAAAAATTGAAAAACGAAAGAAAGAGGGGAATATAATGAGATTGCAATAATAAATCTGAGTCAATTTTTTTTTTTAGGGAAAGAATCGAAAGTCAAGAAAAAAAGTTAGTAAATTGCGTATATTTAAAAAAAAACAAATTTCAACTTAAAAATTATGTTTTAGTTGGAACATTTTTTATTTTCTTTCGGAAACGAGAAAATATTTCGATGAAAAAATTAAAAAATAAATTTCCGACAGTAATTTAATAATGTCTCTACGAAAAAAATTTATTATAATGCAAAAAAAATTCATTACTGTCGGAAATTCAATTGCAAAACTAACTTTTTTTCATTTTTTTTTGACATTCTATTTGATTTTTTCTTCATGGTTCAGAAAATAGGACTTTAGGACTGGATTAATAATATGTGTCGCAAATATTATAATGCTTCATTGATGATTTTGGGCGGGCATCCCACTTGTACATAAGCGACACATGAATTTTTAGTGCAGTTCTAAATATGAAAAAAAAACCACTCACGGATTTTTATCTTCGCGAGCCGTGAGTGGTTTGGGTTTCGGTGCAAAATTATTTTTTTTTTTTCGATAGCGAAAGATTTAGTCAGTATTTACTTCCTTACGTTCGATTGTACAATTCAGTTCGATATTTATTAAATATTTATAAAAAAAAAAATTAATTATTAATTTGTCATTAATTTTTTAACAAAAGAAAATTTTCAGTTTTCCTGAGCATTGCGAAAAAAAATTATTTGGCAATTTTTTTTTCTTCTTCATTAAAAGGAGAAGGTATTATAGATTTAAAAAAAAATTTTATTTGACAAAAGAATTTATATTTAAAAATAAGGTAAATTATTTATAAAAATTAAACAATAAAATAAAAAAAAAATTATTGCAAAAAGATAAAAAATAATAATCGAATTGAATTTGTCATGAACGTTTGGCGATGAGCCAAAGTCTTTAGAAGTATAGAAAATAATTGAAAATGAAAAATACTGCGGAAATAAAAAGTAAAGGCCGCTAAATGCAATTATTAAGCAGGATGTCAGATTTGACGCATTTTCTTTTAGTATATGCGTAACCATTTGTTACTATTTTGTCGTTTTGTAATTAATAAAAATACGATATCAATATAAATTATTGTCTACTATTTTTCAACCTCGCAATTTGTTCTAGTTTTCTTATTTTAAAAATATTTATTTGTACCATATTAATTATCACTTATTTTTTCATAGTCTTATTTAATTTTTATTATGTTTATCAATATTAGTATTGATTTTATTGACAATTATTGTTAGTTAAATTAATTCTAATTAATTATGAATTTGAATGAAAAAATGAATCAAGAAGGAAAAAATAATTAAAAAAATAGTTTATTCAGTTTGAGACCAAAGATTGATGGCATTGTCTATTTTTTACAAAGTATAATTTCTATATTAACTATAAATTAAAATATTCAATGAGTCTTCTTAAAAATACATATTCACTTACACAATAAATATTATGTAAAACATTCAATTATTTTTAGTCGATTATTTTCCTATTTTTATGTCTAATAAATGTTAATTGTAAACAATTTTTAAATTATTCTTAATTTTTAATAACAGATTTGGAAAGTTTAATAATAATTTGATTATGTTTAAAAATTGTATTTTCTCTTATATATAAAAGTTTTAAACTGCAATATGTTTCACACGTTTCTTTAATCTTAAAAGATTATAAACAGTTTCTTGAAAACTAAATAATAAAATAAACTGTTTTTTTAATATAATAAAATAATTATTTTTAGATAATAAGTTAATCATAATTAAATTACAGAAGAAGAATTAAATTTTAAAAATATGGTATGTAATAAATTAAATTGAAATTTCTGAATTTGAAAATAATTTTTGATTCTCGGGACCTAAGAAAATTTGTTTACTATTTTATTGTAAACCGTAAAATTAATTTTAAGACCTCTTCAGGCCTCGGATATCATAACTTTTTCGACTTTTTTCGACTACTTTAAAAAAATGCGACTTTTTTCGACTTTTCTTCCAAAATATTGCAATAAAATTATTTTTTTAATAATTTTTCTAATTAAATTTTCGAAATTTACTATTAAAAAGAGTTTTAATAATTGAAATTTAAAAAAAATTTAATTGAAAGTAATTGACATTTTTCAAAGAGTTTTATAAAAAAAATTTTGAAAATCAACTTTTCAAGAATTTTAATTGCAAATTTTGAAAGTGATTGCAATTCAATTCAATTTTAATTGAATTCCTCGGGAGAATTCAATTATTAAAAACAATTTAATATATTTCGAATAAATTCAATTATTTTCTTAAATCTTAATAAATCCTTTGAAACAATTCAACTATTTTTATAAATACTAAATAAATTTACAAAATTTACAAAAAAATTTAATAATTTTAGTTTTAATAATTGAAATTTTGTAAAATTTAATTGAAAATAATTGATTTTTTTCAAAGTGATTGATAACAAAATTTTTGAAAATTAACTTTTGAAGAATTTTAATTGCAAATTTTGAAAATAATTGATTTCTCCAAAATTTTAATAAAAAATCTTCAAATGTAAATTTAAAAATGGTAATTAATGAAAATTATCTTCTAAAAATTATATTAAAATATTTTTTGAAAAAAATAATTCATAGAATTTTTGCATTCTAATTTTTTAAAATTCAATTATTTTTTCAATATTTTCAAATACAAATTTTCAAAAATTCAAATACATACAGAAAGATAATAAAAATTAAAATTTCTAATCAAAATTCTTCAAAAAATGATTTTTGTTTAAATTATACAAAAATTCTTTTAAGAAATTCAATTCTTTTCGATAAATTACATTACAATATTTAAAAAAAAAATTTTTCTTGTAATTTTTTATCTTAATTTTTTAAAACTCAATTAATTTGAAACAAAGTAAACTAAAATTTTTTAAAATTTCCTTTTTTAGATTTATTACAATTTTTGAAGAAATTATGTTTAAAATTCTTTAAAAATTCAATTATTTTTTTTAATAGAATTTACCAAATTTCAATTGTTTGAGGATTTTTCAATTGTATATAATTGAAAAACTATTAGTTTTCATAAATTATTTTAAAAAATATTTTTGAAAAAGTAATTAAATTAATTAATAACTTAAAAAACAATGGACAGTTACAAATCATTATAAGAAACTGAATTTTTGTATTTAAAATTTTAAATAATTGAATTCTCTAAGAAGTTTCGGAAAATTATTAAAAATAATTGATTTCGAGAAGAAATTTGATTAAAATTTGTAGAAAATAATTGAATTTTGAGAGAATTAAAAAGTTGTAATTTTTAGAAGTTATTAATTTTCAGAAGGTTTTTAAATAGAAATTTTTTAAATTTTATTCCCGTGTAAAGATAAATAAAAAATATTTAAATATTTATTTAACGAAATTATTCAAGTGTTGAATAATTAAATTTAGAAATCAGTGAAAGATTAGAAAAATAAAAAATAAAATTTTTTTGATGACAGTGAATTAAATAAACGAGTTTTTCGACTTTTTTTTCTATTTTAAATCGACTAAAGCGACTTTTTTTGCTCGTTAAACTTAAAGTCGATCCGAGGCCTGCCTCTTTTATACTAAAAAAATTATATAAAAAACATTTTGCCAGTGTTTCAGTACAGTAAGAAGAAAGTCTTATTTTAAGGCATGAAAGGTACCTTAATTTAAGATGCAACATTTTCAAAACAGCCTTCGCTTAATTTCAAATCATATTTTTTGCTGAATTTAAAGATCCGTGCTGAATATCAGCACTGAGTGTGCTATTAGGTATATATATAGTTACTAATTTCCCAAAATTTATTTACACTATTTTTCATTAAACATATTATTCATAAAGAGTTCTAAATATTTATTACATATGTAACAAAATTTGACACTTTGAGGTTATGTATTTTGTTCTTTTTATTGTCAGCCACTGTCAGCGCTCGGACTATACTACTGTAGTCAGTTTCGAATTACTTTATTGTATTCTTCGTATTTAAGTCGATTTATAATAATAACAACTAATTTATCGGTAGCGTTTGACTATGTCGGTAAAGAAAATTCAATATTTAGACGTTTCTGAAAATGACCACATGAGTAGTGTATTTAAGTATTTATCAACAATGTAAAAAATTAACCTGAACCTATGTCAATTGCTTAAATTAAGACCGGTCTTAGTTTTAAGACTTGTTTAATTTCAGCTCGTTCTTAAAATAAGATTTACTTTTTACTGTGTGTGAGATTAACAATTTTCGTCGAATTCATTTTGAGCATCGGCAACAACATAATTGGGATCGCAAACAGTATTTCGCACAGCATCCTTAACGTAAGCGCGGAAAATTCTAAAATTCACATCATCACTTTTCAAGTGTCCATAAAGATACATTGGCAATCGATCAGACAAAATCCATACACTCTGATTAATTTCATGATCCGTTCTCACGTCATTGGGGAATATGAGTGAAACATTACTTGTACCAATGACACCGAGATTTTCGGGGATATATTCTTTTCTAGTATCCCAACACCATACGGAATCTCTGGTGACCATATTGAAGAACATAACACCATCACGATCGATTGCCGAACCAGATGATTGTCCATAATCCTTGGCTCTTGGCTTTCCAACGGGTACAAATTTATCCGAACATTCGTCAGCCGTTTTTTTGTCCTTCAAAACACGAGTGGACACTGCAAATTCCCGAAAACTTGACATGGGATGGAAGAATATTGTCCTATCTTGGTCGATATCGAGTGGACTCAATGCCATTCCGAAAATTCCGTCCGTCCACTCAAATTGGATCCCATGAAGATTGTATCTGAAATGTGAGTTTTGTGTTATTTTTCATTTTCACTAATTTTCGGAAATAAACATTTTTCTCTTAAATTCATTTATTTTTTTTTTAATTCTTTTTCTTCCTTTCTTTTTTTTTTTAATTATTTCCAGGCCTCGGATATTATGACTTTTTCGACTATTATTTTGAATAATCTTTCCAATTAAATTTTTGAAATATACAATTAAAAAGATTTTGAATAATATTGAAATTTACTTTTTTAGAGTTATTAAAATTTCGGAGAAATCATTTATAATTGTAGAATATAGTTTATAAAATTTGTTGCTACTTTTGCAGAAAAAATTTAAAGTTCAACAGAAATTTAAGCAATTTTCGCAGTAGATTAAAATTTTTATTTTTCTCAAACAAAATAAAATAGGAAATAACATACAATAATAAATTATTATGCAAATAGAAAGTAATATTTTTTTAAAATTCTCGACAAAAGAAAAAGGAAAATAGTAATTTAGATAAAATTGAATGTTAACTCAGCTAATTTACATTTACTTAGACCGAGATTAATTTACATATTTGAATATTCATCTCTATTGTTATATTTTGGATTTATTTTCATAACTTTTATTATGTTCAAAATAAATTTGCCTCATAAACTATGAAATTACCACGAAACCTTCAATTTTTTCTATTTCTGCCAATAATTTCTTATTAAATAACTTCATTTATATATAAATAGATGAACTTTAAAAGATATCAATTTGAAATTTTATAAAACTTCAATTTTGAATGCATTTTGTTAGAAATTTTAAAGAACTTAGATTCAACTTTTTAAAAAAATCTTAAAACACATTTCGAAAAAATTCAATTTTTTTCTAAAATTTTTAATAAATCCTTCGAAAAAATTCAATTATTTTTATAAGTAGTCAAATTCTTCGAAAGAATTCAATTAATTTTATAAATAGTAAAAATTCTTGGCAGGAATTCAATTATTTTCAAAACAATTTTAATTGAATTTCTCGTATGAATTCAAATATTTTTAAATATTTTCATAAATTTCAATTATTTCCTAAAATTTTAATAAATTCTTCGAAACAATTCAACTATTTTTATAAATATAAAAATTCTTTGAAGGAATTAAATAATTTTTAATCAAATTTAAATAAAATTACACGAAAGAATTTAATTTATTTTTAAAAATTTCTATAAAATTCAATTTCAACAAGAATTTAAAATTCTCTAAGAAATAATTCAATTATTCTCAAAATATTTTTAAAAAATTCTATATAAAAATTAAATCATACTTTCAATGCAATTTTTAAATATATATTCGTTAAAAAAATGGAAAGAATTCAATTGAGGCCTTGGATCCAATAACTCGCCCGACGCTCGAAGGCACGCGCTAATACCAGTCGGGTAGCAGTGAGTGGCCCAGAGGCGCTCACTGCTCACTGACTGGCAGTCGCGCGTTCCTCCGAGCGTCGGGCGAGTTATTGGATCCAAGGCCTCAATTATTTTCAAAAAATAATAAATTTCTTGTGATGAATTCAATTATTTTGAATATAATTAATTTTAATAAAATACTTTAAAGAAATTGAATTATTTTCGAAACAACTTTAATTGAATTTCTCGAAAAAATTTCATTATTATCAAATATTTCTATATAAAATTCTTCATTACAATTTAATTATTTCTTAAAGTTTTAATAAATTCTTCCAAGCATTTCAATTATTTTTATAAATAGTATAAAATTCTTCGCAATAATTCAATTATTTTTATAAATAGTAAAATCCTTTGCAGGAATTCAATTATTTTCAAAACAATTTTAATAAAATTCCTCGGACGAATTCAAATATTTTTAAATATTTCCATGAATTTCAATTATTTCCTAAAATTTTAATAAATTCTTGGCAAAAATTCAATTGTTTTAAATTCAATTTCAATAAAACTCTTCTTCATAAAATTCAATTGCTTTCAAAATTTTCAATTAAAATTATTAAAGAAAGTCCATTAGTTTAAAAAAAATTCAAAGAAATTCTTCAAAAGAATTTAATTAGGATTTTTAAAAATTTTAATTAAATTCTTTGTGAAAATTTAGTTATTTTGCTAAATAATAAAATTCTTTGATGGAATTCTATTATTAGCAAATTTTTTGATAAAATTCTTAGCAAAAATTCGATGATTTTCAATACATTAATTTTAAAATGAAAAATATTTGCAAAAAAAAATTATAAAAAGTTAAGAAACAAAAAAACAAACAACAACTAACTTCAAACTGCGAACAGATTACCGGAACATGTACTTTATTATTATTAATTAATTAATTAATGTTATAATTATTTTTATTTTATAATTAATTCAAAATTGTAATGACATATAGAAATCATCAGAATTTTCTTCACTTCTTTTCATCAAAAGACTAAAATTTTGTTAAATATTATACGTTTCGTCAAATTGAAATTATGCAGATTTTTGTTCTTTACTTCTAAACAAAATTAGAAAATTGTTAAGCAAACTGTGATTAACAAATAGAAAATTTATTTATTTTGCAGTATTTTTGTTTATGAATCACAATTTTTTAAACAAAATTATTATTTTGTTTTAAAAAAAGAAGAAAAATATTTGCACAATTCCTATTTTTAATCTTATTTTTGGAACAGAATTTTCCACAGGAATTAAGAAAATCAAAAATTTCAAATTTAAACCTTTTTTAAGTTAAACAACTTATAAAAGTATTGTTATAAAACATGAAGATATTGATTGCTCCGAGTCGAAGACTCGGAGTGATCGATTTCTTCATGTTTTATAATAATTAAAGATGACCAAGTAATAAAAATCATTATTTTTTATTATAAGAATATTGTTACTGTAACTTCTTCATAATTTATTTTCATCATTTTAATTCAATTATTATTTTCTAGAATTTTAAATTATTTTTTATGAAAATAATTGAATTCCTTATAAAAAATTTTATTATTTATGAAAATAATAAAATGTTTACAGACAATTTTATTAAAAAAATGTTTAAAATAATAATTGAATTCTTTTTGAGAAATTTTATTAAAATACTAGATATTGAAAATCGTTAAAATGAGAAAAATTTTTGAAAATAATTGAAATTAGGACAAGAATTTTTTTTTGACATTTATGAAAATTAAAATAATTGAACTTTGGAGAAGAATTTTGTTATTTATAAAGATAATTGGGATTTTTTCTAGAATTTTTTTTTTTCAAATTTTGAACATAGTTGAATTTTATAAGAAGAATTTTAATTTTATTTTTGGAAATAATTGAATTCTTGTGAAATTTTTATTATTTATAAAAATAATAAAATGTTTGCATACAATTTTATTTAAATTTTTTTAAAAGAATTGAATTCTTTTTGGGGAAATTTTATTAAAATTGTAGATATTGAAAATCATTGAAATCAGAAAATTTGATTGAAAATAATTTACCTTGCAGATAAGGGATCCGGATAGAAGAAATGGTGCTCGTATCTGTATGATGAATCTGACAGGAGATCATAAACAACGACCCCAAATCGAAAAACATCGGAAATATAGGCGACGGCAAGCTCGCAGAAGCCATGTCTGACATCGACGATTATATTTGAATAAAGACAATCCTCCTTGATGTGGTCCTTGGGAAAAACGTATTTGTGAAGAAGACGGTCTGTTTTCAAATCAAAAATGAAGATTGCCGGTGGACAAATTTGCTCTGTACTATTTGTGATGTCAATTTTTCCTGAATCCAAAACCCATAGACGTTGACAATCATCTACTTGAATTCTGAACACTGAGGTGAGTCCTTCACAATTTCCTTTAAAAAAGAAAAAGAGAAATGAAAAACGAATTTCATACGATTTTATAATAAACTGAAATTATTTTTTTATTGATTTATTCCATGTTTTTAAATTTGATTGATACAATTAAAAATTTTGGAATTTGTATTTTTATCTTTATCAAGAACATAATTTTGTTCTATTTTAAAAAATATAAATCTAGAGAGTGATTAAATAACTTAAACTAAAAACTAGTTTTTGAAAAAGAAGTACTTTATATAGAAGAAAAATTCGTTTTAATTTTCATTCTAAAAAAATTTTCTCTTGCCAAGTTTTCTATGAGATAAATTTACCAAGAATTGTATATAAGAAAATTATAGAGTTGGTAATCAGTTGGTAATTTTATAATTGAATAAAATGTTTTGCGAACAGGATTTTTTAATTGAGAGTAAAATATTGAGATTGAAAGGGAAAACAAGATTCTACTCTAGATATATAAAAATAAGTGAAGACAATCCAAAGATTGATGCAAATTTTATTCGAACGAGTAATGTATCGGAAACAAGTCACGTCTTCGAGATTTTTCTTTTTCCTTAATTAAGAAGATATACTGGCCTTCTGGCGAGGAGAAAGTTCTATTATTTTTATTTATCTTTTTTTTTCTACTACTTTGTTGTATCTATTTCATATATTCTATACATATATAAATAGAAGTCTTACCAGCATTATTCCATTCCCAATTAGGATACGGTTTCAACTTCGGGCTTTTAGTTGCTGAATATCGTGGAACAGTCGTGAGAGTTACTGGAATGCCACTTTTCCATTTCGGCAAAGTGATAAAGACTCTGTCTTCCCAAACTTCAAGTCCTAGGGGTAAATTGTTCTCCGGAATGTAGGAACCTTCGAAACGAGCTCGGTTTCGAGCTTCTTCACTTTCATACTCAAAATCTACCGTTTTCCAAAAATATTCCTAAAATATTATAGAGGAAAGAATTGTTTTTTAGTTTCGGTTGCAAAATTTTTACTTTCTTTTATACCAAAAAACTGTACTCTCTAAATTTTAATTAGTAAAAATTTTTACTAATTTGAATTACTGACTTGCTTTTTGATTTTGAATTAGTAAATTTTACTAATAAATAGTAATTTCTACTAAATTCGTTAGTAAAATTTACTAATTCAGAAGCAAACATTATTAATTCAAAATTAATTCAAAAAAATTTAAATTAGTAAATAAATATTTTTGGAAATTCTAATTTAGAGAGTAAAAGAAATTTGTTTTTCGAACAATTTTATTTAAGGGGAGAATAAACCTCAGGCTTCACAGTCTGTCCCCTATTTCCCTAAAAGTCCCCTTTTTTATTTTGGCCCCTAAACGTACCCTATTTTGACAATTTCCCCTATTTTTTTCGTCGCAGGAAATCAATTATTTTCAATATTTTGTAAGTAATTCTGCAAAAGAATTCAATTATCTTGATAACCAACAAAATTCTCCCCATAAAATCAATTATTTTAAGGATTTTTAGTGAAATTCTTTTCCAAAATTCAATTATTTTGATAAATATTAAAATTCTTCTCAAGAATTCAATTATTGTCAAAAATTTTAATTTAATTCTTGGCAAAATTTCAATTATTTAAACAATTTAAACAAAGTTTAATAAAATACTTTACATGAATTCAATTATTTTTATAAATTTTAATAAATATCTCGTCAATAATTCAATTATTTTTATAGATAGCAAAATTTATCGCCAAAAATTCAATTATTTTCAAAAATTTAAATAAAATTCTTTGCAACATTTTAATTATTTTTCAAAGTTTTTCGCAATTCAATATTTTTAAATATTTGCTATTTTCATCAAATTTATCAACAGATTTAATTATAGAAAAAACTTTTTGATACAATTCCACGAAAAGATTCAATTATTTTCATAAATAATAAAATTTCATTTACGAATTTAATTATTTTCATTGCAGAATTTCAAGTATTTTCATAAATAACATTTAATTCGTAGCAGAAAATCAATTATTTTCAAAAAATTTTAAGTAATTTTGCAAATGAATTCAATTAGCTTAATAAACAACCAAATCGCATAAATTCTTCCCGTAAAATCAATTATTCTAAGGAATTTTAATAAAATTCTTTTCTAAAATTCAATTATTTTGATAAATATCAAAATTTTCCACTAGAATTCAATTCTTTTGAAAAGCAATAAAATACTTTACAGAAATTAAATTATTTTCAAATTTTTTTTAAAATTCTCGTCAAAAATTAAATTATCTTTATAAATAGATAGGGAAATTCTTCTCAAGAATTAAATTATTGTCAAAATTTCTTTTTAAATTCTTCTCAAGAACTCAATTATTTTCAAAAATTTAAATAAAATTCTTTGCAACATTTCAATTATTTTTATAAATTTTAAAGAATATCTCGTCAAGAATTCAATTATTTTTATAAATAGCAAAATTTTTCGCCAAAAATTTAAATAAAATTCTTTGCAACATTTCAATTATTTTCAAAAGTTTTTTGCAATTCAATGTTTTTAAATATTTACTATTTTCATAAAATTTATCAACAAATTTAATTAAAGAAAAAATTTGTTGATACAATTCCACGAAAAGATTCAATTATTTTCATAAATAATAAAAATTTCATTTACGAATTCAATTATTTTCATCGCGGAATTTCAAATATTTTTAATACAATTTTAAATAAATTCCTTGAAAATGCAATTATTATTAAAAATTGTATTAAAACTTGAGGAAAGAATTCAATTTTAAGAAACATTCAATTATTCAATAAAACAATAAAATTCGTTGCAATAATTGAAATATTTTCATAAATAACATTTAAATCGTCACAGAAAATCAATTATTTTCAAAAATTTTTAAGGAATTTTGCAAAAGAATTCAATTAGCTTGATAAAAAAAAATCGCATAAATTCTTCCCGTAAAATCAATTATTCTTAGGAATTTTAATAAAATTCTTTTACAAAATTCAATTATTTTGATAAATATTAATATTTATCACAAGAATTCAATTTTTTTGAAAAGTAATAAAATTCTTTGCAAAAATTAAATTATTTTCAAAATTGTTTAAAAATTCTCGTCAAGAATTAAAGTATCTTTATAAATAGATAGGGAAATTCTTCTCAAGAATTAAATTATTGTCCAAAAATTTTTTTAAAAATTCTTCTCAAGAAGTGAATTATTTTCGATAATTTTAATAAAATTCTTCTCATGAATTCAATTATTTTTAAAAAATTTAATAAAATTCTTCAATAAGTTTTCAACTATTTCCAAAAATCGTTATAAAATTCTTGAATATAATAAATTTCATTAAAATTTTAATTAAATTCCTTAAAAGAAATTAAATATTTTCAAAAGTTGTTAATACAATTCTTCGTAAAAATTAAATTTTAAGAAAGATTCAGTATTATTTATTTTTGTATTTAAATAATTGATTTCTCGTAGAATTAAATTATTGTTTTTCGTACTTTTCACTAAAATTTCTGAAAAATTAATTTTTTTTTTAAATTTAATTGAATAATAATTGATGTTATTGATTTTTAAAGTAGAATTTTAGTTAAAAATTCTAAAAATGGATCACTCCGAGTAATAATAAATAAATAATAAATAAATAATAAATAAATAATAAAATAATAAAAAAAATTAAAATAAATAAATAAATAATAAACTCATAATAATAAATAAATAATAATATTCTCATGAGTTGTTCAATATGAAAAGGTCTGAATTTGAAATTTTGGAACATCTTAATTCCAATGAAAAAATGATTAAATTTTTATTTTAAATAAAACTATTGATGTTTTCGAATAATTTTACTTTTGAAGAAATTTGTAAATAAATTTAATATAACATTTTTTTGAGTATCTATTTATAAATAAATTATATTTTTATCTTTATTTAAGCAATTCTTATGGTCCCCTAAAAGTTCCCTATTTTTTAATTTTTAGTCCCGTATTTCCCCTAAAATACTTTTTAGGGACACTGTGAAGCCTGAATCCTATATATATTTTGAACTACATGAAGAAAATATTTTAAATATTTAATAAAATTATTTCTATAGTAATTTTTTGAGAGGAATTCAATGGTCATAAAAAAAATTGGTCAGAAAATATTTTGATCCTTTTTAAAGTTTTATTTTTTCTAAAAATTGATAAATTTTGAAATCCATACGTAATTTTGTAGAAAATTTGTTTTTGTAGCCATAAAAAAATTGCCAAATGACCGTGAATTTTTTTTTTTATGAAAAAAGTAACCACCCTGAAATTCTAAACAAATAGTTAAAATTTAATAGGGTTACAGTTTTAGTTTTTAGATATAATTAAATAGAAGGTTTCATAATAACAAGCAATTAATAAAATTCGACAGATTTTAATTTTCGTGCAAAAATAAATAACAAATATTTAAATATTTATTTGAATAATAAATGAACATTTGTTTAATGTTTAGAACATTTGAATAATTGAATTTATAGATCAGTGAAATATCATGGAAAGGTAAAATAAAATTTTTGTGACAACAACGAATTAAATAATCAACTTTTTTTCGACTTTTTTTCGAATCTTAAAGACTATCCGAGGCCTTTTATTGAAAAAAAAAGTTTTTCTAGTTTCAAAAAAATTGTCAAATAATTGATGAATAAAAATTACCAATTCCATCGCCGGACCAACGTACTCATAATTTTCCACCGGTTTATTATATAAGAGATCAGGTTTATAAATTCCTTTATTTTTCTCATCAATTAGCGATGGTGAATTGAAATTAAGACGATTTAATTGCGCATCAATTTCACGTCCACTTTTGATTTTCTTCTCATATCCTGAATTCTGATAATTTTCAATCATCCAATTATTTATTGGATTTGGGGGATATCGTTGATCCTCACTACATGGTGGTTTCAATAATCCTTGATCCAATGACGTGTCATCGTGATAAGGATAATTGCAAGTCGTGTGAATTGGAAAGCCTTTGCCGTTCTGCGTGACAGTTACCTGTTTATTGAAATGAAATGGCAAAACACAGTTTAGTTGAATTTACCTTTGTTCTTCCTGTAAATGTGTATATATATAAAAGCCCATCGCAATTTCTTCTTCAATCGATCTCTCTTCGTTTTGTTTTGTGTGTTTTTTTTTCTTTTCCTAAACTTTTGATCACGATTCTCGTGTGTAATGGGCGATAAATTGTTGTTATTTCGATTGTGAGAAGAAAATGTTTCTTTGGTGAAAATACGGAAGAAGGGTATACGAAATTTATTGTTCGAAAAGTCACGAAACGCGAATTAATAATTCTGTATATTCTACAAAACATGTTTTCTTTCTTTTATAATCGATTTCAAATTTGTTAATTGATTTTTGTTCTTTACTTCTGAAGAAAATTAGAAAATTGTTAAACAAATGTGATTAAGAAATAGAAAATTTATTTATTTTGCATTATTTTTGTTTATGAATCACAATTTTTTAACAAAAATATTCTTTTGAGAAATATTATTAAAATAGTAAATATTGAAAATCGTTTAAATTAAAAAATTTTTTAAAAATAATTAAAATTTCGATACTTTTTATTGTTTAATAAATTTTTTTTATTTTTCTTGGTAGAAGTTTCAACATTCAATAAATTTTGTTTCGTCCTCCGATATTATATTTTTATTTTCTCCTGTCGAAATTGGTTTTTGTGAAATTAAATTTGAAACTCGATTTTCAAAGGGGTACATGTTATCGAGCATGTTATTTATGGGGTTTCTTTTTATTATTAAGCTACACATTGTATAACGATCATATTTTGCAATTACGTCCAGGCAATTATATATAGAGAATAATCTAGACACATAAAAATTATAGATAATGAATGTTTTATCTATACGTCTTTTCGCTCACTGTATATATACACAAGTTTAACAGTTTTACGCAATTTTCATGAGGTTAAAAAATATCTAAACTTGTTGGGTTACTAACTTTCAAAGACCCATTCTATTTAAATATACCTCCACCTGATTTCTGTAATATCATTAAATACATAACGTGAAAGGACTTTACATTATTGTATGGTCCATGAAAATTTTTATTTTTTGTTAGTCATGTCACTTTTTTTGAGATCGTCATTAACTCTTCAGTTTTAGACTTTTTTTTATTGACAGACAGTTTTGAAGGTTTTTGTTTCTTTTTCATCTATTTCTAAATTGTATTGTATATTTAATTTAATAAATATAAGGTAAATATGTTCAATGAAATCTATCTGTAAATTACAGGTGTTTACAAAGAAACTTAAAATAATTGTCCATTTACCTCGCTAAAAACAAAAACAAACAGAAAATAATTTCGAGATATAACATTTTAAAAAAATGTTTGATTTTTGTAATTAGGTGAAAAATTCAACGACTAGATTTTCTACAATGCCGCAAGCATATTAAAATTAAATAGCAAATATTCGCGCGCTAAAGTGCGCGGCTAACTTCTTGCTACTTTTTTTTAAATAAAATTAGAAATTTTAAAAAAAATGGAATTTAAAAATTTTCTAATTTAAATTTTTGTTGAAAAAACTAAAAAAAAATTCAATTTTGGAGAAATTACAAATAATTGCAGAAATTCAATTATTTTCAAAAAAAAAAATAAAATTCTTCATATAAAATTCAACTATGTTCAAAATTTGAAAAAAATTCTCGTAAAAATCCCAATTATCTTTATAAATAACAAAATTATTCTCCAAAGTTCAATTATTTTCGTAAATGTGAAAAAAAATCTTGTCCCAATTTCAATTATTTTCAAAAATAAAATGCATTTTTCTAATTTCAATGATTTTCAATATCTATTATTTTAATAAAATTTCCCAAAAAACATTCAATTATTTTCACAAATTATAAAAATTTTTATAAGGAATTCAATTATTTTCATAAATAATAAAAATTTCACAGAAATTCAATTATTTTTATAAATAATAAAACTTTTTTTATAAGGAATTTAATTATTTATTTTCTAATTTCAATGATTTTCAATACCTACTATTTTAATAAAATTTCCCAAAAAGAATTCAATTATTTACCAAATTTTTTAATAAAATTGTATGCAAACATTTTATTATTTTCATAAATAATAAAAATTTCACAGGAATTCAATTATTTTCAGAAAAAATTAAAATTCTTCTTATAAAATTCAACTATGTTTAAAATTTGAAAAAAATTCTTGTTAAAATCACAATTATCTTTATAAATAACAAAATTCTTCTCTAAAGTTCAATTATTTTCAAAAATGTCAACAAAACTCTTGTCTTAATGTCAATTATTTTCAAAATTTTTTTAATAAAATGTACCAAAAATAATTTAATTCTTTTAAAAAAATTTTAATAAAATTGTATGCAAACATTTTATTATTTTCATAAATAATAAAAATTACAGAGGAATTCAATTATTTTCATAAATAATAAAACTTTTTTAAGGATTTCAATTATTTTTTTCTAATTTCTATGATTTTCAATATCTACTATTTTAATAAAATTTCCCAAAAAGAATTCAATTCTTTAAAAAGAATTTTAATAAAATCGTATGCAAACATTTTATTATTTTCATAAATAATACAAATTTCACAAACTTTCAATTATTTTCAAAAGTAATAAAACCCTTCTCCGAAATTCAATTATTTTTAAAAATTTTAATAAAATTCTTGTCAAAATTTCAATTAAAACATTCAATTATTTTCTAAAGAAATAAAATTCAATTATTTCAAAATTTAAAAAAAATTCTCGTCAAAATTTCAATTATTTTTAAAAGTAATAAAACTCTTCTCCAAAATTCAATTATTTCTAAAAATTCTAATAAAATTCTTGTCAAAATTTCAATTAAAACATTCAATTATTTTCTAAAGAAATAATATTCAATTATTTCAAAATTTAAAAAAAATTCTCGTCAAAATTTCAATTATTTTCAAAAGTAATAAAACTCTTCTCCAAAATTCAATTATTTTTAAAAATTTTAATAAAATTCTTGTCAAAATTTCAATTATTTTCAAAAAATTTTTCTCATTTCAATGATTTTAAGTATCTAGGGGAATGTAGTCAAGGTTGGCCTACTGTCTAGGTAGGCCACTCGCGTTTTTTTGTCAAGTTCACTAGCGCCACCTACGCGCATTTTTGTCGAAGCTTGTCTTAGTGAAACCTAACTTTTTGTTCAATTACATTTTCGGAAAATCGAAAATTGTGTTTTCTGTGACGTCGGTACAAAAAAAGCTCAAAAAAAGTTTTGTGCATAATGTGAAAAACCATTAATAAAAGATAAAAAACAAATTGAATCGTCAAGGCAAGTATGCAGAAAATTTGTGGGACTCATGGTTGAAAGGAAAACAAAGTAAAAAATCGAATCCCGAAACGTATTTCTTTATGGTTACAACAATTCGGTAATGTTACTTACTGTCAAGGTCGGCCACTATGTGTTTAAAATGCGCAAAGTTGAGGACGAGCTACTTCATTTGCAAAAACTGCAATTCTGTATAACTCATAATATAATTGATCATCTTATTAATATTTTTATTTAATTTTATTAATATTTTAGTGCAAAATTTTTTTTTATTTATATTTACTTTTTTATATTGTTTATTTTTATTATTTTATTATTTCATTAAGTTACAAGCTGTAAACAATAAAGAATCAATTTTCCGTAACTCCAAACATGTTATTTTTTTTTTTAACGATTAATGCCCTTTGAATTTTAAACATGGCCGACCTTGACTGTAATGGCCAACCTGGACTACAAATTTTTTTTTTTTTAAATCTTTATAACTTTTTCATTTTTAAACCTGTCAATTTACTTTGTACAGAAAAAATGTTCCTATTAAACAGGACTTTCCAACCATATACTTCAATTGTCCAAATTCATTTTTAAAAAAAAGTTATAAACAAAAGTCAAAAAGGTGGCCGACCTAGACTATGTTCCCCTACTATTTAAATAACATTTTTTAAAAATAATTCAATTATTTTAAAAAGTTTTTGAATAAAATTGTATACAAACATTTTATTATTTTCATAACTAATAAAAAGTTCACAAGAATTCAATTATTTTCAAAAATAATAAATTTTTTTTAAGGAATTCAATTATTATTTTCATAAAAAATAATTTAAAATTCTAGAAAATAATAATTGAATTAAAATAATGAAAATAATTTTGATGAACTTACAGTAACAATATTCTTATAATATAAAATAATGATTTTATCTCTCGGTCATTTTTAATTATTAGAAAAAATGAAGAAATCGGTCACTCAGCAATCAATATCTTCATGTTTTATAACAATACTTTTATAAATTGTTTAATTTAAAAAAGGTTTGAATTTAAAATTTTTGAATGTCTTAATTTCTGTGGAAAATCCTGTTCCAAAAATAAGATTAAAAATAGAAATTGTGCAAATATTTTTCTTCCTTTTCTAAAACAAAATAATAATTTTGTTAAAAAAAATTGTGATTCATAATCAAAAATTATGCTAAATAAATAAATTTTCTATTTCTTAATCACAGTTGTTGAACAATTTTCTATTTTTGCTTAGAAGTAAAGAACAAAAATAATTTCAATTTGACAAAACATAATATTTAACAAAATTTTAGTCTTTTAATGAAAAGAGAAGTGAAAAAAATTCTGATGATTTCTATTTGTCATTACAATTTTTAATTAATTATAAAATAAAAATAATTATAACACTAATATAATATACAATCTATCTAAAGTTAACAAAAAACAAAAGTATAAACAAAAGACAACTTCAGAGTGTGAGGGACAGAAAAAGTGAATGAATGAAAGAACATTCAAATTATTATATGTAGTTAATTAATTTTTAATTAATTAATCGATAGTTTCTAAATAATTCGTTTAAACTTTAAAATTGATTAATTTATCTGAAAAGTGTGAATTAATTAGTCCTTTTTTTTTAATTAACTACTCATAATTTAAGAATAAATACTGTCTAATAGTTTGAGAATAAAATTTAATGGCATTCACTTAGAGAGAGAGATAATGAAAATATTATTATAGACAAATAGACTTTAACGATTTGTATCAGGCAAATAATTTTATGTGCGATAAATGTTGATTAGTAAAAGTATATAAATTATAATTGCATAAATACCGGAGGATAAATTGATGGCGAATAAATTTGTGGCGGTGCTTGAAGATCTTGTGACAGTTGATTTGGTGTTGCTGGTGTAACAAAATTTTTCAAACCCACCAATGACATTGTTAATAGCCATGGCACGACACTTGTTACTCCTGAAAAATTATTTTTTTAAAATTTTTATTTAACATTAAATTTAATTTTAGATTTAATTTAGAAAGAGATGTATATTTTATCATCAATATATCTCATTTTTTTATTTTATTTTCACTTCTTTTTTTAATCCACTATCAATATTAATTTCAAAATTCTCATTAATTGTGATTTTTATTTTAATTTCATTATATTTATTCCCGTCTTATTGAATATGTCGCTTTTATTTATTTAATAATAATGATGATGATGATTAATAATAAACGAAATGTATATCTAAATAATACATTATTTAGTATTTTTGAAATAAAAAATAATGCATTATTTTGATTTTTTAATTCAATAATATATTAAGTTTTTTTTTTGCCATTATAGTTTGTTTTCTAATTAATAATTTTTTTTCGTCCCATTATCGTTTCGTGTTTGCTCCATTATCGCGGTTTAGTTTTTGGTCCATTATCATTAATTTTTTATTCCATTATCGTTTATTTTAATGGGCATTCATTTCACACTTTTTATCCTTTTTATTTTGCAACTATTTATTATTATTGGCGACTTTGAAAGTTCACATTTAATTGTAATTATCGTCATTATTTAAATTTTATTTTTTAAACAATTTTTGTTTTTATTTCAAAAATATACACTTGCCTTGCATTGTGGTAATAAATAATTTTTATTTCTTAGGTTTTTAGAAGTTGTTATAAAAATTGTTGGGGAAAAAATTCCAATTTTAAAAATTATTTTAGTTTTTATAATTTTTTCTCGATTTGAAACATTTTTTTAAAGTTTTTCTTTTAAACTCTTTTTTGCTTGAAAAAAAAAGAAATTTGAACGAGAGGGAAGCTGAATCACGTGTGAAATGGATAACGCACGAGATGTGACTGTGAGATGTGTTGGCTATATTATTATAATCAAGATTCCCTAGTAAATGTGTCTGTGAAACCAAATACAGGATTAAAGAGAATGTTCTGTCCTTTCTACCATCTCATAGAAGATTCTCATTCTCTCTTTTTTTTCTCTCTCTCACTTTTCTATACTCTAATACATACTTATAGGTCATTGGCGAGATATGCTCCTTGTAAATTCAAGGTGCAATAGATAATCGCTGTTACAGTGAAAACTCATTAGATTTCCCTTTTCCTTGTCATTTTTTTTTTATAATCTTCTTTCTCACAGATGAGAATAAATCTTTCATTTCACAATATTTTAAAAATCATCCATTGTTTCTTATCGCTATTTTTAGATCCACTTATTTTCCTGTTTCTTACATTCGAAAACTATTTTTTCCTCTAATTTATTTCGTAACTAGCAAAACTTTTTGAAATTTAATGAAAATTATTCATTTTTTAAAAAGTATAATTTTTCTAATTTTTAAACTTAATTATCTAAACAACTCGTACAGAAAGATATTTAAGATATTTAAGACATTAAAATAAAAATAAATAAAAAATAAATAAAAAAATAAATAAATAAATATTTAAGATATTTCTAACAGAAACTTGAATGTAAGATATTTTTTTATTAAATAATTCAACTTTCCAGTGTAAAAATAATTTTTAAAAATAAACAAATAAAATTCATTAAAATATTAAAATTTCAATGAAATTTGACAAAACTTTCAATTGTTTCAATTTTTACTTCCTCATAGAGGAAGTATTTAAAATTATTTTCGGAAATACAATTATTTTTAGAAAACTTTAATTACATTTTTTCAAGAAACAATTTTTCGGAATTTCTGAATTAAATTATTCAGAACTTGAATCGTTTTTGTTAAACAAAAATTTAAAAACTTATTCTTCATTATTTTTCCACTGGAATTAAAATTTCAAATAATTTCAATGAAAAACCTCATGAAATTTAATTATTTCTAAAAATTGCAACTGTAATTCTTCCAAAATTAAATTATTTTTTTTTTTAGAATTTTTAAATAAAACTATTGAAAAACTTTTAAGTATTTTTAAAGAAATATAATGTAATTAATAATTTTTTAAAATAAAAATACAAATATTTTTATACATTTGCTTGCCTTAAAATTTCAAGGAATTTAATTTAAAAACCTTTTAAAATTTAATTAATTCCTGAAATTCTGGTTATAATAAATATTCAATTATTTTCTAAAATTTTAATTGAAATTTTTTTTTAAATCAATTCCTATCAGAATTCAACAACGAGAAATGAATTATTTAAATAGAATAAAGTTGTGAAAATTCATAAAATAATATTTTTTCAAAAATTCAATTATATTCATAGATAATTTTTAAAGATGAAAAAATAAAATTCTTTAAAATATAAAAAAAACCTATTTTTTCAGAATTTCCAAATTAAATCTTTCACAATCATTTTTGTAAAACAAATATTTAAATACTTATTGTTCTTTATTTTCTAAAAATTTCAAAATACTTTCAAATGTAAAACTATTAGAAAAATTTTTTTTTATGAAAATTTGAATGCAGGTATTTATATTGTTACTGCAACTTCTTCAAAATAATTTTCATCATTTTAATTCAATTAGGTATTATTTTCTAGAATTTTAAATTATTTTTTATGAAAATAATAATTGAGTTCCTTACAAAAAATTTATTATTTATGAAAATAATCCTGTGAAATTTTTATTATTTATGAAAATAATAAAATGTTTGCATACAATTTTATTAAAGAATATTTAAAATAATTGAATTTTTTTTGGGGGAAATTTTATTAAAATAGTAGGTATTGAAAATCATTGAAATTAGAAAAAAAATTAGGTAATTAAATTCCTTAAAAAAGTTTTATTATTTATGAAAATAATTGAATTCCTGTGAAATTTTTATTATTTATGAAAATAATAAAATTTTTACATACAATTTTATTAAAAATGTTTAAAATAATTGAATTCTTTTTGGGAAATTTTATTAAAATAGTAGATATTGAAAATCATTGAAATTAGAAAAAAAATTAATTGAATTCCTTAAAAAAGTTTGATTATTTATGAAAATAATTGAATTCCTGTGAAATTTTTATTATAATTATGAAAATAATAAAATGTTTGCATACAATTTTATTAAAAAAAAATTTTAAACAATTAAATTCTTTTTGGGAAATATTATTAAAATAGTAGATATTGAAAATAATTGAAATTAGAAAAATTTTTGAAAATAATTGAAATTAGGACAAGAATATTTTGGACATTTATGAAAGTAATAAAATTTTTACATACAATTTTATTAAAAAATGTTTAAAATAATTTAATTCTTTTTGGGAAATTTCATTAAAATAGTAGATATTGAAAATCATTGAAATTAGAAAAATTTTTGAAAATAATTGAAACTAGGACAAGAATTTTTTTGATATTTATGAAAATAATTGAACTTTGGAGAAGAATTTTGTTATTTAAGTTATTTATAAAGATAATTAGGTTTTTTACGAGAATTTTTTTCAAATTTTGTTGAATTTTTTAGTTGAATTAGTATTTTATAGTATTTATAGTTGAATTTTATAAGAATTTTTTTTTTAAATAATTGAATTTTGGCAATTATTTGTAATTTCTCCAAAATTGAATTTTTTTAGTGTTTTCAACAAAAATTTAAATTAGAAAATTTTTAAATTCTAATATTTTTTTAAAATTGCTAATTTTATTTAAAAAAAAAAAGTGGCAAGAAGTTAGCCACGCGCTTTAGTGCGCGAATTGTTGCTTAGTTAACTATTAAATTAATAGTTTATTAATTTATTTTCTAAAATCAGATTTTCATTATATTCTAATGAAAAAAAATTCTTTTAAAAATATGTTCCAAATTTCAGAAACATTTTATAATTATAAAAATTTATATATAAAATTTTTGTTCATAAAAAATTTCTAAATTACAAACAATTTTTCAATTAATTTGAAGAATATTGAAAAAATATCGATTGAGCAGAAAAAAGAATTTTTCGCAATTTTATATGGTTGTATTAAATATTAATGCAAAAGATAAAAATGAAACTCTTGAAATTTAGGTAAATGTCGATTTCACCAGAAATATTAATATCTTCTTAATTTCGAGAACCTTCTTCAGTGAAACGTTAAATTCATGCATATAAAATAAAATGTATATATATAATATGCTCTCCCCGTTGCAATCACTCGAATATTGTACTACTCCTTACCTTTAAAGTTCAACATTTATCAAATATAATTATACGTCTCTGTGATCTAGAAGTTGCTGCAAAATCTTGTTTCTTAAAAAAAAGGGGAGGAAAAAAAATTCAAAAAAAGTTTATAATACTGATATTAAAGATTAGAATGTCGATAAAATTTCAATACGAGTTTTGAAATATTTAATTTATTCATATTTATTTCCGTAATGTGGGTGATTTTTTAAAATTAAAACATTCTTTGAACATTCTATTTTTTTATTTCTTGAAAGTTAACAAAAAAATTGTCTTTCCGGTTAATTTTTGAATATTTTTATTTATTTTTAGTTTTCCCCGTCGGTTTTTGTGTATCTTTTATTCAATTTATTTATTGTTTTATATATTTTTTATTAATTACTTTTTATTGTTACATTTTGCCAAAATAATGCGTGTGAAAAATTCTAAATTCACTTTCTACACTGAAATGATATAAAAATTTTAAAGTCAGATCATTTCAGTCTTTTTGTAATCTTTTCAAGTGGAACTGTATTTGATTTTACGTCATTCGAATACAAGAAATTGTACACAAAAAAAAATAATGAAACATTTCTCGAAAAATTGATTTTTAGTTTAGAAGAAAATTACAAAATATTTTCAAGTTTATAAATTTTTTTTATTCGTATATTTAAAATCGAATTTTTTAATATTTAAATATTATAGGAATTAATTATGTAAACGAATAAAATTATTGAACCAAGAAAGAAACATGAAAAAATATTGCAAACCGATTTTCTTTTATAAGGAAGGAATTTTTATTTACAGTTTTTTTTTTGTTCAATTATAATGACAAGAGTTATTAACTTCAATATTCTGGATATGTAATTATTGTAGAAACTGATTTATTCACGTTTTTTTTTATGAAAAAGGTGAGAATTTATAATTATAGAGAATTTAGACAAAAATTTTAAATAACTTACGATTCTTGTTCCATGGTTTGTATAATTGAAAGTCCTCGTTAGGAAACTTATGACTACGATGAAGAATTAAATTCTCATTTTTATCCCAGATTTCAGAATCAGGAAAAAAATTCCCGTCAACGTTTGGTTTTTTCGTGGGATTCCAGTTGTGAACCCAATGAATTTCTTCCAATTCTTTCGCTTTGTCTTCCTTCTTCCTCGCCATCACATTTCTTAAATCAAAAATAATATTTCCCCAAAAAAATTTATTCATTTCCTTCTTTTAATTTAGTTTCTTTTTATTTTTCACCTAATTGAAAAAAGAAAAGTAAATGTGAAAATTAAAAATCAAAAAAATTAAATTAAAAAATTGTAATAAAATTAAAATAAAAAAAAAAAAACAATTGGAAAACTAAATTAATTACAAAAAATATATTAAATAAAAGACAAAATTGACTTGTAATTGTTGAACAATTAATTTATTAGTAAATAAATAAATTTCATTAAGAATTGAAAGAAAAAAGGTTTCTAAAAATAATTTCAAAAATTTTTCGTTTTTTTAGTATTTTTTTGAGTAATTAATTTTGAATTTCTGATCTAGTTCCCGAGTTATTTACTCAGTAATTACATTTTATTTTCTTTATTGTCGTTATTAGTGTTAATAGTAAAATTTAATTAATTTAATGTTATTAAAAAAATCGTTATCAAATATTCATTTTTCTAAATAAATAATAAATAATAATAAATAATAAAATACAAACAAATTATATTATTGTCCAAAAAATAGAAAAATGTTAAAATTCTATAATTTAATTTTTAATTAATTTCAAAGCACCTTCGAATTAAATAAAGACGACGATTTTTGATCCTTAAATATTATGCGACGTTGAGAGGGAAATTTTTTCGCAAGGGAAGTTTTAGAAGCGAAGTACATAGAATCACGTCCAGAATTGAACTGTTTTGTTTACCTGTCTCCACTCAAAGCATACCCCTTTACCAATTTATTAGGGAAATAAAAAAAAACCACATTTTTATTATTGTTCCTTTTTTTCCCCTCTATTTTTATTTCCTTGTATTCCATAATGTGCGACGTGTGAAATTATGAAAGTATCTCGTTGTTTTGTACATAATTCACTAAAACATTTTTTTCTATATCCTTCGCAATAATAACAAGACAAGGAGAATATTATTTCGCCAATATAATAGCAGTAAAAAGAAGTAAAGAAAAAAAAGGCAGTCGTGAGTATATCGTAAAAATAAATTCCCCACAGTGCAATAGAAATATCTAAGTCTGTATATTAATTTTCAAGAAGAAGAAAAATCAATATGTATACAACTTTTTAAAATTAATTTCAATTATTCTCGAAATGATTGTTTTGCAAATTTTTATGTGCAATTATAATGAAATATTGTCTGAAGTTGCAGAAAAATATACATACATTTATAAATAATTTCTATAAAATTTCGAAATTTTGTTTGCTATTTTTACTTGTTGATTAAAATAATTCATTTTTTTAAAGTCTAATTTATGCTTAAGGTTTTTAATTTTTATATACTTAATTCAATAATAGAATTTAAAAAATTTTAATTCAAATTTTTGTTGAAAACACTAAAAACATTCAATTATTTTCAAAAGAAATAAAATTCAATTATTTCAAAATTTAAAAAAAATACTCGTCAAAATTTCAATTATTTTCAAAAGTAATAAAATTCTTCTCCAAAATTCAATTATTTAAAATTTTTTTTAATAATTCTCGTCAAAATTTCAATTATTTTCAAAAGTAATAAAATTCTTCTCCAAAATTGAATTATTTAAAAATTTTTTTTAAAAATTCTCGTCAAAATTTCAATTATTTTCAAAAGTAATAAAATTCTTCTCCGAAATCCAATTACTTTTTAAAAATTTTAATAAAATTATTGTCAAAATTACAATTATTTTCAAAAATTTTTCTCATTTCAATGATTTTAGGTATTTACTATTTAAATAGAAAATTTTCAAAAAGAATTCAATTATTTTCATAAATAATAAAAATTTCACAAATTAAATTTAATTAAATTAAATTAATTAATTAATTTTAATTAAATTTAATTTTTTATTTAATTAATTAATTATTTTCAAAAGAAATAAAATTCAATTATTTTTAAAAAATGTAATAAAATTCCTGTCAAAATTTCTATTATTTTCAAAAGTAATAAAATTCTTCTCCAAAATTCAATTATTTTCAAAAAAATTTTCCTCATTGCAATGAATTTAAGTTTCTACTATTTTAATATAAATTTTTCAAAAAGAATTCAATTATTTTCATAATTAATAAAAATTTCACAGGTAAAACATTCAATTATTTTCAAAAGAAATAAAATCCTTCTGCAAAATTCAATTATTTTTGAAAATTTTAATAAAATTCTTGTCAAAATTTCAATTATTTTCAAAAAAATTTTCTCCTTTCTATGATTTTAAGTATCTACTATTTGAATAAAATTTTTCAAAAAGAATTTTACTATTTTTATAAATAATAAAAAATTTCACAGGAAAAACATTCAATTATTTTCAAAAGAAATAAAATTCAATTATTTCAAAATTAAAAATAAATTGTCGTCAAAATTTCAATTATTTTCAAAAATAATAAAATTCTTCTCCAAAATTCAATTATTTTTAAAAATTTTAATAAAATTATGGTCAAATTTTCAATTATTTCCAAAAAAATTTTCTCATTTCAATGATTTTAAGTATCTACTATTTAAATAACATTTTTTAAAAATAATTCAATTATTTTAAAAAGTTTTTAAATAAAATTCTATGCAAACATTTTATTATTTTCATAACTAATAAAAAGTTCACAAGAATTCAATTATTTTCAAAAATAATAAAAAATTTCACAGGAAAAACATTTAATTATTTTCAAAAGAAATAAAATTCAATTTTTTCAAAATGAGAACATTTTGTTGAAAATAATTGAAATTTTGACAAGAATTTTATTACTTTTGAAAATTATTGAATTTTTGACGAGAAATTTTTTTAAATTTTGAAATAATTGAATTTTATTTACTTTGAAAATAATTTAATGTTTTTTCTGTGAAGTTTTTATTATTTATGAAAATAATTGAATTTTTTTTGAAAAATTTTTATAGTAGATACTTAAAATCATTGAAATGAGAAAAATTTTTTGAAAATATTTGAAATTTGAACAAAAATTTTATTAAAAATTTTAAAAATAATTGAATTTTTGAGAAGAATTTTATTTTATTTTATTCTCGTCAAAATTTCAATTATTTTCAAAAGTAATAAAATTCTTCTCCGAAATTCAATTATTTTTAAAAATTTTAATAAAATTCTTGTTAAAATTTCCATTATTTTCTAAAAAATTTTCTCATTTCAATGATTTGAAGTATATCTACTATTTAAATATAAATTATTCAAAAATAATTCAATTATTTTCATAAATAATAAAAATTTCACAGGAATTCAATTATTTGCAAAAGAATTTTATAAATTCTTTCGCAATAATTTAATTACTTTCATAAATATCAAATTTTTTTTAAGGAATTCAATTATTTTCTTAAAAAATAATTGTAAATTCTAGAAAATAATAATTGAATTAAAATGATGAAAATAATTTTGATGACGTTACAGTAAAAATATTCTTATAATATAAAATAATGATTTTATCACTCGTTAATTATTAATTATTATAAAACATGAAGAAATCGGTCACTCCGAGTCTTGGTCTCGGAGCAATCGATATCTTCATGTTTTATAACAATACTTTTTTATAAGTTGTTTAATTTCAAAAAGGTTTGAATTTAAAATATTTGAATATCCTAATTCCTGGGGAAAAATAATAATAATTAAATATTTATTTAAAAAATCGGTTATTGGTGTTTTCGAATAATTTTGCAATTAAAAAAATTCGTAAATAAATGTAAGAGAACATTTTTTTGAGTAAAATTTTTTCCATTATTTTCTAAAAATTTAAACAGTTTCAATTTCATAAAAAAAATTGAATTTTATTAAAGCAATAATTGTAAGTAAAAAATAGAAATGATGGAAATTATTTCCTTATGAAAATTGAGAATTTTTCGATAAAAATATTAAGGAACGGGAGAATTAATTAATTACTAAAATTAATTAATTATATCTAATTAAGTCTTTGAACTAAAAAAATTCTATATTTATCATAATTTATAATTTTTGTCAAAAAATTATAATAAATTATAATTATCACCGTGTTATAAATTTACTTAATTGAAAAATAATAGTTATATAATTAATAAGTAATAACTAATAAATAGACAAAATTAGATATTAATAATAAAAACATATCTTCCCCTAATGTAGTCTCTGTCTAACTTTTACATAATCCGTGGAATCCTCTTGGGTCTTAAATACGTTGGTAGTAGACGCAACGGAGCAGAAATTCTTCGTAACATTAATTATTTTCGTCTAGTCAACCCAAGTCTGTATTAACTTGTCCCATATAAGGAGATTTGGCTTTAAATTTAAGAAGACCGCAATAATTATTATTATCTTTCAAAAGAAAAAGTAATTAAATTTAAACAATCTAAATTTCTCAAAATATTCGTAATTCTAATAATTATCCAATAATAGATTTTGACCTTCAATTTAAAAAAAAATCTCAATAAATTAACCAAACGAATTAAATTCATTAAATTAAACAGAGAAAGCATAGTAAATAATAAAAAAAATTAAAATGATGAAAATATTTATAGAGTGAAAATGCTTATATTAATTATTTATTATTTATTAACATAATTAATGTTTCATAATGCTGTTCATTTGTAATATCAGGAGTGTTTGAATTATTTTAAATCCGCTATCTTTCAATAAATCAAAAATATTTATTTTCGCTCACAATTTCAAATTAGAAAAATATTTGTAATAATTATTAATATAAATATATTTTTTTACTTAATTTTCTAAATTTAAAAAAAAACATTTTTATTTTGATCAAAATTCAATTAAATGTTTTATATATTTAGTTTTTTAATTCAAATAAAATAAATAAAAAAAAATGATATATCAAAGAAAATTAAAAAATAATTTTTAGTTTAAATAAAATAACTCGAAAAGTATTTAAACTTGTAAATACAATGAATCAATGATAAGGACATTGACTTTTGAACAAATAATTTATGCAAGAATTTTTTTAATTGTAAAATTGCAAATTAGTTGAGAAAACATTTAATATGAAATTAGCTTAAACATTTTACTATAACATTTTTTTTTTTTAATTTTAAATATATATTTAAAGAGATCTTAAGAAGTTTTTACTTCAATGAAACTGTAATGCAAATAAAATTAAAGTAGAATACAAAAGGCAATTACTCGGATTTACTAATTGAGTAACTGGGGGTTTAAAAGTGTGCATTAACATTAAGAAAGACCATACAGGTGTAATTTTTTCCAACCACCGTGTAATTATATTTATAATTCACTAAAAATTATTTTCTTCATCAAAAACCTTGAATTTTAATATAGAGGCAGAAAAAAATTTTTTTTCATTGCTTTTCCAAATAGCTTGTCAATTATATTTCAAAACGTTTAATTATTTCGCGATAAATTTTTAATGTCCAAAAAATTATCTTTGTCATGGGGATTTTATTTTTCATGATTTACGATTTTCTTGAATCGATTGTTTATTATAGTAAGTGAAAGAAAATTTTTTTTAAATTAAAACTAACTTTTAAATTTAAAAAAAAAAAGAATATTGCCTCATGAAAAAAATTAATAATGAACTATTAATATTTTATTATTATTCGATATTATTTTTATTTATCATTTATATTGTTAGTTACATTCAGGTAATGATTAATAAATGAAATAGTTTTCAAAAATATTTGAAATCAAGTAAAGAATATATTTTTTCTATTATTCTTATTTAAAAATTAAAAACTGGGGAAAGTAGTTGCATTCGTTGAAAATGAAGATTAATTTTTTTTCTTTTAAAAATGCAAATTAGGTTTGAAATTAGTTTACGTAATATTCTTGAGATCGTGACGATGAATTCTGTGGTCTTTTGTGTAAATTATTGACATGCAGCAAAGTAAAAGTTTGTTAAAATCGCGTGGCAGGTTGTAAAACAAATTGACTATCATATTTATTGCACTTTTTTTCCCAAAGAATATATTTCATTTGTTCTAGACTAATTTTAGGAAATTATCTTTCACCTCCTTCATCATGAGAAAACAGTGGAGATAGTTAATTTAAGTAGCCTGTTTACAATGTAATAATTATAATTTTCAATCATAAATTATAGAATTAAATAATAAATTATTAAATTTCGAGAATTTATTTCTGATTATAATATTTATAATTGAGGAAGAATTGAATATTTCTTGAAATTATTTGAAAACGTCAATATTAAAAAAATTATTGAAGATTATTTTTTTTTGTAAATAATATGTTAGGAAAATAAAATAATTTAAATTCGTAGCATTTATTTGTAAAGAAAATTTCTGGAATTTCGCCTGTTTTTAAAGATTTCTAACAAATTGTAATTTAAAAATTATTATTCAATGATATTTATAAAAAACAATATTTTTTATAGGGATTCAATTATTTTAATAAATACATAATACAACTCATCACAGACTTTCAATTATTTTTAATTTTCAATAAAATTTTAATGGAATTCCTCGAAAAATGTAATTATTCTTAAAAATTTTATTAAAATTCAGCAAAGAAATTCAATTATTTTAAAAACTTTTGCTGCAATTTATTGATTACAATTTAAGTATTATTTTCAATACATTTTTAATTAAATTTTTTTAAAAAAATTGAATTCTTTTAATAGATAATGAAATTCTTTGTAACAATAAAATTTTTTTCAAAATAATTTTCATAAAATTCTTCGAAGAAATTTAATAAAGTTCAAAAATTTAATTATTTTCAATGTCTACTATTTAAATAAAATTTCACAAAAGAATTCAATTATTTAAAAAGAAATTTTAATAAAATTCGTCTCAGGAATTCAATTATTTTTAAAAGTATTCTAATTCTTCGCAGAAATCTAATTATATGTTCAAAAATTTACAAAAATTCTCGTCAAAATTTCAATTATTTTTATAAAAAAAAAAAAAAAATTCCTCTCCGAAATTCAATTATTTTTAAAAATTATAATAAAATTCTTGGCAGAATTTCAATTATTTTTAATACAATTTTCATCAAATTTCTCGAAAAATTAAATTATTCTTAAAAATTTTATTAAAATTCAGCAAATAAATTCAATTATTTTAAAAAATTTTGCTACAATTTATTAATTACAATTTAAGTATTATTTTCAATACATTTTTAATTAAATTTCTCCAAAAAATTGAATTATTTTAATAGATAATGAAATTCTTTGTAAGAATAAAATTATTTTCAAAATAATTTTCATAAAATTCTTCGATGAAATTTAATAAAGTATTTCAAAAATTTGTCAAAATTCAATTATTTTCAATATCTACTATTGCAATAAAATTCCACGAAAGAATTCAATTCTTTTCTTAATTCGTTAGAAAATATTTCAAAAGAATTCAATTATTTTCTAAAATTTTTATAAATCCTTCGAAACAATTTAATTTTATTGATAAATAGTAAAATTCTTTGCAATAATTCAATTATTTTTAATACAATTTTCATCAAATTTCACGAAAAATGAAATTATTTTTAAAAATTTTATTAAAATTTGTCAAGAGAATTAAATTATTTAAAAATTTTGATTATAAAATTTTTTATGAAAATTCAATAATTTTAAGAAACATTGAATTATTTAATAAAATATTTATTTTTGTAGTTTAATAATTGAATTCTCATAGAATTTTCTAATAAATATTGATTTAAAAATTAATTTCTTTGATAATTTAAACTTTATATATACTTTTAATCAAGAATTGTGTAGAATTAAGTTTTTTTCAAAAATTTAATGGAATTTTTTAAAAATTATTTAAAGTTTTTAATTTCTAATACATTTAATTGAGGAATGTCAGAATAATCAAAATTTCATAAAATTAAATTAAAAAAAAAGAATTTAAAAATTCTCAAAGAATTTTTTCAAAAATTATTAAAAAAAAAATTGACCTAAAGAAGAATTTTAGTTGAAAATTCTAGAAATGAATAATCGTAATGATGAAAATAATTTTTGAAGAAGTTACAGTAACAAAGTAGCAAGTTTTATAAAAATATTCTTAGAAGTTATTGAATTTGAAATTTTTGAAAATTTTAATTTCTATATGAAAAAATAATAATCGATTAAATATTTATTTAAAAATGAAGTTATTGATATTTTTGAATAATTTTCGTACCTATTGAAAACCTGGAAAAATTCCGTTTTTTAATCTGGAAAACCTGGAAAAGTCAGGGAATTTGAAAAGAACAAAAGCGTGGCAACCCTGGCAATTGAAAATAAATTTAAAACTATGAAAAAATGGGGGACTAAACTTTTTGTAAACTTCCAATGTTCGAAAAATTCTGAAAGTTTGAATAAAATAAATATTTTCAAGAATTGGAAAAAGAAATTGATCCTTATTTCAAAAATTCTAAATTTCGATAAAAAAATTTCCAGTTCTTCCAATAAATTTTTTACTTTTCAATCTTCATTTATAAAGAAACAAATAAAATTAATAAAAATTTTAATATTTAATTTAATTTAATTTAATTTAATTTAATTTAATTTAATTTAATTTAATTTAATTTAATTTAATTTTATTTTATTTTATTTTATTCAATAAATTTAATTTTAATAATTTTAATAATTTTAAATAATAAATAGGTACAAATTAGTTAATATTTGGATTATTTTGCCAAAAATATCTTCCAAATTAAATAATAAATAAAAAAACTTTTTTTTTTATCAATTAGTTAATATTACAACTATTTATAATAATTAGTTGAAAATAAACTAAAAATAAATTTTCATTATATTATAATTAAAGAATTTTTATTTTTAAACATTAAACTAATTTAAATAAATAACGTATCACTTACTTTGTAATAATTAAAATATTTCTTCCTTTCTCTAAATGTTATCACAACTTTTCTTATTGAAAATTATGCAATAAAATTATTATCACACTCTCGACTAATTGCAACGAAAAATTTATCATTGTTTCTATATTTTCTTCGGATTTTTCTGCTTTTTCCCCTCACAATATTTATTTAAAAGTCACCGATTTAGAATTTACTCTCACCATATTATAATTACGAAATATTTTTGTCGCATTTATTGACATGATTGATTTAATTTGAAACTAATTAATTACATTGAATTTGATATTAAAAAACTAAAACTTGGGTATTTTGAATTTTTACAGGTACTTTCCACTGATATATATATTATATGAGAATTAAGACGCAAGCATAGGAACACGAAGCGTGAAACTTATCGAAGACTGATCGACAAACTAAAATAGTAGAATATTGGTAGCAGGAGAAAGCGCGGGGGTCGATCACTTTGGTAAGTAACTCGAACTTAAGTTTCAGGTAATTTGCCTTTAGAGAATTGTGCATAGACTTGTAGTTCTTTTTTTTTTTATTTTTAATCTAGATTAATTAGAGGTGAATGCTGCGCACTGTTTTACGTAAAAGAGAGAAAAACTTTCATGCACCGATAAAAAAGTGTATCAGATGTTTATCCCAGTTAATAGCCTCTAGCAAAAAAAGCGACTCGCGAATATAATTCGTCAAAAGTATTTCAAGTCCACGTTTTTTTCCCCCGCCTCTGAATTTAATCAGTTTCCGTAATTTTGCTCTCCCCTATATTTTCTCAGCGAGAGAATAAATACTTTGTGGGGAATTTTTTCTAAGTTTAACAATTATTTGATTCATTAAAGTTATTGTTTATTGACAATAATTATTGTTATACATATATTATAAAAATTTACTTATAATTATTTTCTTTTAATTTATTATTTATTAGGCAAATTACAAAATTTTCTATTTTCAAATATGAATTTTTGAATAATTTCAGATTTAAACTTTAAAAAAATTCAATTATTAACTAATTTACTAAGTCCTTCGAAACAATTCAATTATTTTTTAAATAGTAAAATTCTTTGCAAAAATTCAATTATTTTCAAAAATTCCACGAAAGAATTTAATTTTTTCCTTAATTCCGTTATAAATTTTTTGAAAAGAATTCAATTATTTTCTAAAATTTTAATAAATCCTTCGAAACAATTTTAATTGAATTCTTTTGTAAAAATTCAATTTTTTTTAAAAAAGTTTAACAGATTTCGAAAAAATTCAATTTTTTCTAAAATTTAAATAAATCGTTCAAAAAAAAATCCAATTTTATTTATATAAATAGTAAAATTCTTTGAAAAAATTCAATTATATTTATAAATAGTAAAATTCTTTGCAGGAATTAAATTATTTTTAATTAAATTTAAATAAAATTACACGAAAGAATTTAATTATTTTCAAAAATTTCTATAAAATTCAATTCTAATAAGAATTTTAAATTCTCTAAAAAATAATTCAATTATTCTCAAAATATTTTTAAAAAATTCTGTTTAAAAATTGAACTACTTTCAATGCAATTTTTAAATATATTTGTCAAAAAAATTGAAAAAATTCAATTATTTTCAATAAAATAATAAAATTCTTTAAAGAAATTCAATTATTTTCGAAACAACTTTAATTGAGTTTCTTGAAAAAATTTTTATTATTATTAAATATTTCTATAAAATTCTTCATAACAATTTAATTATTTCTTAAAATTTTAATAAATTCTTCGAAACATTTCAATTATTTTTATAAATAGTCAAATTCTTCGCAATAATTCAATTATTTTTATAAATAGTAAAATCCTATGCAGGAATTCAATTATTTTGAAAAATTCCACGAAAGGATTCAATTTTCTTTTCTTAATTCGTTATAAAATTTTTAAAAATAATTCAATTATTTTCTGAAATTTTAATAAATCCTTCGAAACAGTTTTAAATGAATTCCTCGTAAGAATTCAATTTTTTTAAAAATTTTTAACATATTCAAAAAATTCAATTTTTTTCTAAAATTTAAATAAAACCTTCAAAAAAAATTCAAATTTATTTATATAAATAGTAAAATTCTTTAAAAAAAATTCAATTATATTTATAAATAGTAAAATTCTTTGCAAAAATTCAATTACTTTCTAAAATTCCACGAAAGAATTCAATTCTTTTCTTAATTCGCTATAAAATATTTCAAAAGAATTTAATTATCTTCTAAAATTTGTATAAATCCTTCAAAACAATTCAATTTTATTTATAAATAGTAAAATTCTTTGCGAAAATTCAATTACTTTTAATACAATTTTAATAACGCTTCATGAAAGACTAAAAATTTTTAATAATATTTTTCGAAAAATTTAATTATTTTCTAAAATTTTTATAAATCCTTTGAAACAATTCAATTTTATTTATAAATAGTAAAATTCATTAAAATAATTCAATTATTTTTAATACTATTTTAATAACATTTCATGAAAGAATATAATTTTTTAAAAAAATTTTAATAATATTTTTCGAAAAAATTTAATTATTTTCTAAAATTTTTATAAATTCTTCGAAACAATTCAATGTTATTTATAAATAGTAAAATTTTTTAAAAAAATGCAATTATATTTATAAATAATAAAATTCTTTGCAAAGATTCAATTATTTTCAAAAATTCAAAGAAAGAATTTCATTTTTTTCTTAATTCGTTATAAAATATTTCAAAAGAATTTAATTATTTTCTAAGATTTTTATAAATCCTTCAAAACAATTTAATTTTATTTATAAGCAGTAAAATTCTTTGCAAAAATTCAATTATTTTTATACAATTTTAATAAAATTTTATGAAAGAATTCAATTTTTAAAAAAATTTTTTGAAAAAATTCAAATTTTTTTTTAATTTGTTATAAAATTTTTCCAAATAATTCAATTATTTTCTAAAATTTTTATAAACCCAATAATTAAATGTTCAATTTGTATTATTAACAAACACTATTATTTTAAAAAACTTGAAAGAAATTGTTCATAAAATTTAATAATTTTAAAAATTTTTGATTAAAATTATTAAAGAATCTCCATTGTTAAAAAAAATAATTAAAAGAAATTCTTCAAAAAGAATAAAATTCGAATATTCATAAATTCTAACAAAATTCTACACGAGAATTCAATTATTTTCCTAAATAATAAAATTCTTCGAAGGAATTGTATCATTATCAAATTTTTTTGGATAAAATTCTTTGCTACAATTCTATGATTTTCAATACATTAATTTTAAAATTGAAAATCAATTAGAAAAATTATTCAATTAGTTAAAAAACAAAAAAGCAAACAACGATTATTAGTATAGATTTTCTGTTTCTCTCTTTTCAAACATTCAATTTTTATTTTAAAATTAAAACATAATATATTTCTTTATTAATAGTCATAATTATTTCTCCTTATTTTTATAGTTAGGTAATCCAATTAAATTAAATTAATTAATACCCTTTAGCTTGTTTCAAAAAGTAATTTACAAAAAATGAATTAAAAATAAAAAAATATTTTTTTACTATAAATGTTACAAGTGTTGATTTTATAAATTTGAAGAGGAAGTAAAGAAAGAGAAAATGTATAAAGTTACATCTTTAGTCATGCTCTGACGCTGATGGGATTCTTAATAATTTCTATGGAGAAATTGAGAGTCTGTATATATAGCTACTGAAAGTAGCTCAATGTTTATTTAAAATTGATTTTTAATAACAAATACGGAGGTTATTTTTAATTGTATGCGAGGAACTATTAGATTGTAAAGAAATTATAAGCAGAATTGGAGTGAAAAGAATTTTCACATTTTTCGTCTACTATTATTCGCACATAAATTATTATAATAATTATAAAATTTAATTTTAACTCTATAATTTTATTAAATATAAAATAATTATAAATTGTTATAATATTATAATTATTATAGCTATAAAAAAGTAATTGTTAAGAGGCCATAATAATCCCATTCCGAAGGTTAAAGTAAATTTGAGAATTAACCGGAGAAACTTTCCTCTTGTTTATCCTCTCTAACTGAAATTTTCAAAGAAACATAAAAAAACCAAAGAAAACGTCAAAAATATTCAGCAGGAAAATTATTTTAACTGTTTTGACTCCATTCCGGGAAATGCAAATTTTTATAAATTTTTTAATAAAAAACTTTATACGAAATTTATTTATCGCTTATTTTACAATGATAAAATTAAATTAAAATTAAATTAAAATTAAATAAAATTAAATAATATTTTTGAATCGTTAAAAAAACGATCGATAAGCCTTTTATTCAAAAATATTTAATTAATAAACGATCACTAACTTCAAGAATATAAAAATTAAATAAATCATTATAATAAATAAATAATAAATAATTAATTAAATAATGTTAGAATTAAAAAAATAAACTCTGGAATTTTAGTTTTTTTTCGAGGGAAAAATAAATTTCTTCTTTCATAAACATTGTGAAATTTATCGACTTCTGAAAAAGTAAAAAACTCTTTGTTATGATTGAAATGGATTTAATTAAAAATCTATATTCCTTTGAGTAAAATTTTTTTTTATTCAATAAAAATTTTTTGACAATTCGTTACTATTTTTTTTTGTATATAATTCGAACATTGTCAAGAGAAGTTATTTTTTACATGAATTGTTTTTTGAAATTAAAATAAATTTTTCTTCAATTCGTCTGTTGTAACATATTTCATATATTTATATAACTTAACGAATTTATAACTTAAATTTAATTATACTTAACTTATAATATAATTAACTTAATATACTTTGTATAAAATACTGTACAAACTTAACGCTCGTAAATAATATTTACAAAAACTTACAGTAACTTAGAAAAAAAAATAAAATTTGTTAATTTTAAAGTATTTATGAAATAGAAGTTAACAAATTTTAACAATAATTATGGAAATTTGAATATGATATAATTAAAAATATAATTCTTAATATCGTAACTTTAAAGAAGGTAAAATATTACATTGTTACATTGTTTAACATTAATTATGTGATGTTGATTGGTTCGGATTTTTTTCAATTATCATTTTCATAGAATATTACAAATATTATAGAATATTTTACATTTGTAAGATTAATTTCAATTAATTTCAATTCTAATTTCTAATCAATTTTCTTTATTTTTCTAATCAATTTAAAACCTTTTTTACAATTTAAAAATTATTTTAATTTTTAATAAAACATTTGCAGCTTTTCATGTAGAATATTGTGCAGCAAATATTTTTATTTTCTTTGCTTTTCTTTTTGAAAACCTTTTTCTTTATTTAGACAATTATTTTAATTTTTAATAATATTTTTAAAAATTTTAATTGATTTTAATTTTTATTAATATTTTTAAAAATTTTAATTGATTTTAATTTTTATAAATATTTTTAAAAATTTAAATTGATTTTAATTTTTACACAGTAAAAAGTAAATCTTAATTTAAGATCAGTCTTAAATTCAGCACTGTCTGCTCTAATGTTAAATCATACAAAATCCATTGCTTAAATTCAGCATTGACTGCCTTAAAAATGTTGCGTCTTAATTTAAGGCTGCTTTCCTGTCTTAAAATAAGACTTTCTTTTTACTGTGTAATAAT